TTGGTAGAGGTGCATTGAAGTATATAAGACTTCCACATTTGATGTTGTCTTGAAATTCATAAGGATCAGGGCTAGGACCTCTCTTCCCTTTATGAGGCTTGATGTTCTCCCTTTTGCATTGATCCTCGTCCTCAACTTCATAGCTACACCTGAACCATCATCTTTCGCATCCATGACGACCTTGGTAAGAGCTAGGCCGAGTTTGGCATCGATTGAATGGAATCTTTGGTCTCCTGAGTCGACAAACTTGTCCGGATCAGGATCGTCCATGGCTTCTTTGATCCAGTCGATCCAGGGCTCTTGATCTGAATCATTGGCCGCAATGATGATCGATTGAATGAGATTTGCCTTCCATAGTCCAAGGTCATTGATCCTGGGCCATGACGGAACGTTTATCTTTGATTCTTCCTTCCTCGATACTTTCATGATTGTAGAGGTTGCCGGTGTAAGATGAGATGAAGAGGATGCTTCTGCTTCTGAAATCTTGTCCCTCAATGATTTGTTCGCCTCGGATAGCTCAATTGATTTCTCCCTTTCCTCGGCGTACTCGTTGTGGGTTTCGGCATACCATTCATACATCTCATCTCGGCTCTCTGTCATTTCATTGTACCCGTCCTTGTAGTGCTTCGCCTCCTCTTTTGCGTTCCGAATCTCATCTTCCTCGGACGCGTGGGTTGGTAACCCGCGGTCTCTGGAACTAGGACGCTTGCTGTACCGAGAGACTATGGGTGCCATTCGTGCTTCTGCTTTTAATTTCGCATTTTCCATAATGACATTCTTTGTCTCCTTCTGGCTTTCCAATAGTGCATTCTCCAGTTCTCTGATCTTCTGTTGAATTTCAGCACCATCATCGCCGAACATAGGAGCTCTCATCATATTCTCTCTTTTCAGCTGTGCGTTGGCTTCGGATAGAGCGAGGTTGACGTCTTTCAATTGTTGTCGTTCACGGATGGAACTTTCTAGGACTTCGTTGTTGAATATTTCTCCTTTTGCGATAACCTCCTTTGCGACGTTTGCTTCGTATTCATGGTGGCTCGCCTTCATTTCTGCCATTTCTTTAGCAGAGACTTCAGTCTGGCATACAAACATCTCCATCCTCATGCCCACTTCCATCTCTCCTATCTCCGCTCTCGCGTTGAGTTCAGCTCCACGTGCCATAGCTAGTTGACCTCGTAGATGATCAATAACCATAGCTTCCTGATTGCTCTGATCTTGAGATGAGTGAACACTGTGTTGAAGACGTCTTTCCCTGACCTCACTGTTCCATTGTTCTTCTCTCTGGTGTTGGATCACCTCGTGCATGTTGACATTCTCATCCTGTAGCGCAATCATTCTAGCTTGTATCTGGTCAGCTATTCCGACGAAGGCTATGTTCTCATCCTGAATGGCTTTTGATCTTCTATTGATCGCCAATGAAGATTCATTCTGTCCTTGGATGTGTCCAATTGCTGCTTGAAGCTCTTGGGACATTCTGTCCTTCGTTGCTTTCACAGATTCAAGCTCTGAATGTTCTTGATGAGTTTCTTGTGCAAGCTCTTGATATCTCATGTAGATATGTTCAGCTGTCGATTCCGCCAAGCGTAGCTTGTGTTCGAGCTCTTCAATTCTTATTGTCGCTCCTTCATCTTCCTGTGTCATCTCTTGTAGATGTTCCTGCATCTTCCTGTTGTAGTCAGACATTTGCCTGAACTCCACTTCAGCCTCGTGGTGTAGTCGTGAGTATCCGGCTTGGATGCATTCATATTCTTCATGAAGAAAATTGTATGCGTTTCTCGCCGATCTCAATTCTTCACCCAGCTGAATCTCTCTTCTTTGCTCTTTTGTTCCTCTATCATCGTCACGTCTCTTCTCTATACTCCTTCTTGGGGATCTCGCGGTAGACGTTATAGGCGATGTAGATCTTGTTGTAGCTCTCATCGATCTTCTTGGTCCTACGGGTGCAAGATCGGTCAGATTCCGAGCCGGTGGCACGGATCTTTCCGAGATTTGTGATCCAGTAGGCATAGTGATAACGTCAGCATTTGCTGATGAATCAGTACCCATTGTAGAGTCTGGTGACGAAATGGTGTTGGGACCACCAGGAGCAGCGAATGAATAGGGTTCGCTTCCATTTCCTCCTGAGCTTGACATTGCAGGTTTCTGTAATGACTAGTCTTGTTCTTGGTCTCGTGTAGCTCGTACGGCTATAAAGAGCGCCTACGGCTGATAACCTGCGAGTGGATCTTAATCAGCGAAGTTTGAAGCTATCACTGACGGTCCATAAGCGGCGTAGCGTCGGAACGGAAACCGCACCTTTTCTAGTCGCTTGATCCTTGAGCCAAAGTACATATGGTATATATATATGTACAAGTTGCACTGTACATGTCGCTGCACTTCCATTCGCAAAAAAAGAACATGCACATTGTTTAGTTTAAGGTGTCTTAAGGCCGGAACACCGATGCTTATCGTGGTCCAAATTGATCGAAAGAGTTTGTAAAAAGCTAAAAACACACAAAAGACAGCATGCTTTACTGTTCACTCAATTTGTCCAATTCAATATCAGTTCTGGAATGTTCTGGACATGCCAGCCGCTGCCAGCCTATCTTTTGGTCGCTACGATCGAACCGTTCTTTAGAATCACTTCCCGCACTCGCTTCGAAGCTTCCCGCTTCCAGACTCGGTCGGAAGCGGCTTTTCTTTCCCAGCGCTCGGTGCGCGGCTCCAGTCCTCTCTGCATCCCGGCCTGGTTGGCTTAAGAACTCATGGAAGCTCGTTGCGCTCCTGCACCGGACCCGACAGGTTTGGGACCCGACTTGGACATCCGGGGACACCACAAAAGGGGTGGATGAGCCAACACCAACTCCGGCCAATTCTTCCGTTCGCCTTGGTTGGATTTTACTTTCAAGACTTTCAAGATGGGGTCAGGGCTCAAAACACCTCAAAAACCTCCTCATTCCTTCGTCATGTCCGTGCTGTCCGAAGAAGAAAGCAGCCGATCGATTGATGCGCCCCTCCCTCTGCATACATGTCCTGCTACCAAAAGCAAAACCAATGCTTTTGAAGTTCTTTTCTACATGGGAGATATACCCCCGGATCCAAAATGAGCCGAACAATTATGCCTTTCACCACCGTGCCTGGGCACATGGATCTTCGCCAACAGCTCGATCCTGGGATTCGATCTCCACCGACGGTCCCGGGGTGGAGATGGGTGAACATCACCCACATGAGAGGTGCCTTTCACCTACCAACAGAAATTATGATCACGTGAGAAATTATAGTGATTTCACTATCCCTTTGCTGATAAGAAATCACCAACATAAATTTATGGTCTTGGTCTATCATGAAATTTATGATACTGTATGTAGAACATGTATGCGCGATGTCATCCATCACGGTAAAAACACACCCTAGTAACACCACCAAACATGTTTGATGGTGTCTTTTGTGCTTTTATATAAATGTGAAATCGGTTTTTTTCCCACCGCCCTCATACATGATGAATGCTTCCCCCAGTCCACGTCTCGAACCACCGGTGAATCGACTCCCCTTGTCGGTGCAATGAGATTCTCTCGGTTTTGTCCCAGCACTCAGAGAACCATTTGATTCTTTCCAACTCCACCTCTTTGTTCCCTGTCCTTTGACCAGTCTAACTCCTTCAATTTCCGAAGATAAAGCTTAGCTTGTTTCCACCTGTTTGTGAGTGGGGCGTCCCGGACGTCCCCACTCCCAAAACAAGTTAGGCAGGTTATCCACTTTTTCCTGGGTATATAACATTATATAACCAGCACTCAACACAGGAGTCCCCGATTGAGTCTTCGTCAGCGAAAGAAAACTGTGCCAAGGGCCAAGGTTCCAGAACGACTCGAGTCCACGCGGCATTCGGTGTCAGTCGGAGAGCGGCCCGTTGGTTTTTCTGGACACGACAGGAATGTATCTGAAAGCCGATGTGACTGGAGCAACTGTACATACGGATTCAGTCTCTTTTTCAGATTGATCACAGATTCCAACATTTTTGTTGTGATGTTCAAACAGCCAGCAAAACTCCCTGATTGATGCCAAAATTAGCAACATAGCAACAAACACGTTGATTCAACGTCGTTCCTCATTCCTCACCTAATACTGTAACGCATCTTCTCATCTTCTACCTACAGTACACAATTGGGGAGATGAGATACCTTTTGTTCGTTTGCGGTTATTGAATCTGCTTGATGGGGGTCGAAGTGGGGGGTCAAATATGGTCAACTCCCATATAGAGTACAGGACTCTTCCACACGTCGTTGATTCTCTTCAAAGTGTGTGCATACAGCAGCGCTGCATTCTGTGCAAATGTCACTATAGACTATAGTCATTTATTTGGGTCCTTTTGGCAGCTCTTCCCTTCCACACCCTTTGGCAGCGGACCCTGACGAATGAGTTTTCGCCGGTCTCGACGGGTCCTTGTGGGTCCTTGTGGTTGAAAATCATAGACTCATAGACGCGACTTTTGGGTAGCAAAACACATATTGGTATACGCTCAACATGCATGACGTGCGGCTGTTGTATCCTCAGATTTGTGAGTCCCCTATCGTTTTGAAGCACCAGGCTCAGCTGCGCTCCCTGGCGCTTGAGCCGTGCGGCCAGACACGTTTCAAGCCATGCGGGCGATCGGGATCGATCTTCGAGCGAAGACTCTCACTGACTTAGTAGGCAGGAGACATCTGGGCTATCTACGGCTGCCCATCATGGATTTGAAATCACTGGGTCATGTATTTTGAGATAGTTACTGCAGTCATCCATCTGTATCTACGTCAGACGTCGAAAAATGTAGACTCTTGACTCTTGATGATAAAGACGAAAAGAGGGAGGGTTGTTGATCAAGAGTCCACATCACTGGTGCCGTCATCTTGGCCCAAAGCCACTTCCGCCACATCTCGACACTCTCCGTCGGACCAGAACTGGACGTTCACCGTTCACCCAACGGTTTTTCTCCAGTTTGGCCCTTCCTTTTGAAGTACCTAAAGCCTACAAGACCTCACACCCCCTCTTTCGACGCCCCCAAGCCGCCGGCGCGCCGGCATCGCCGCCTTTTCGAACATGGCCACTGTCTCGGGCCAAGTGCCACGAGCCCTCGGACATGTCCCCAGCTGCACGTCATCGGTCCCTTCGGCCCCGCCACCACGACCGCTGAAGGCCCCGACGCCCCGCCCCGAGCGGTCAGAAAGCTCTACAGCGGCCGCCCGGGCGGTCGCAAGGGCTTAACTGGTGCCTCCTTTGGAGATTCACAGGTGGGGAGAGATTGATGATTGCACCAGCGGTGAATCCCAAAACATGATTTGGGACCTGACTTCTTTTCAGTCATCCCGCTAGCTAGGTCTTTTTTGCCACTTCCTCTCCCCACACATCTGGCTGATGGCTCACTTGGCCTGACGGATTCGCACCGCCAGGTGGGTCGGCCGAAACACTGTTCCTGTACCCAAAAACGAAGGGTAGCCCACTAGTCTTCATGTATTTGTGTTTGTCTTCGCTTCCAGAAATCGTTGACCAGTGTGAAGGGGAAAGTCTTCAATACACTTCCGAAAACTAACATAGACCCTGACAATGGCCCCCTGGAAGAGTGTTTTCCTCTACCAACCAGTGGTTTTCATGAAGCAAAAGGGTTGAGTTTATAGATGCTGCCATATGGTATCTCACACAATGAGACTGAAGTGATTCCGTGAGAAAGCCATGGCAAGCGAAAGAGCGGACTCCCAGCTTCTCAGCAAAAGCATCAAGGTGCTGAAACCGAGCCACCGATCCACCCTGCTGTTGATGGAAGGTTTGAACCAGCTTGAACCCCCAAGTCCTAGCAAGATCGTCCAAAGTGTTTATCTCAGGGACAGCGAAGTCATCAACCTCCGCGCTACGCCACTACCTGGTCAACAACCCCGTGACGTACTAAATGGATTCAGTATCTCACCCGCAAGCGGGCTAAAGGAGGGTGTTTTCCCTCCAAAAAAGCATCAGGATTTGATCTTCAGATTCGGACCTTCGGGTTTGGCTGTTGCCTCTCCGTCTCCGGCTAGTTCGTTCCCCAAAGCGGCCTGAGGGACGAAGCGCCTCATCCGACCGTCTCCGAGCCGGATGAGGTCTCCACTCAACAAACCCAGGTCCAAGCTACCCAACCAATAGGGTGCTTTTAGGCAGGGATGGTAAACAATGGAACAAATACCTCGTATTTGTGGGGGTGGTCTATCAACCAATTCTGAACGAAACCCGAGAGTTGGGTGCAGAAATCTCACGCAGCCGAACGCGTTCGTTTCCGGCCGCCGGCGGCTTCGGGCCATGACGGCTTCGGCGGTGTTCCCCGTTTGCCGACCTCGGGCTGAAGCAGCCTCGGAGGGGCGGTGCTCTGGCGGTGCGACGTGCGGCGGGCCGGGCGGACGATCCGGTGGTGGTGGGGTGGATGGCCGCGATGCGTGAGGTCGAAGGCCAAAGAGAGGGTCGAGTCCCTCTCGGGCGGGATAAAAACCAATAGAAGCCACCTGACCAGGTCAGGTTGTTCAAGGGAATATGTACTGTAAGTGATCAATGACCATAGAAATTACATTCAAACCTTGCAGCAGCGGCTGAATACCTAGGATTCTGTTCTGTAGCAAGTCTTGAGTCCCTTCAACTGAGGCATCCCATCGTGTCAGCGTCGCAAATTCACCACCAACCTTTCAACACTGGCACATGGAGAAGGTTCCAATTCTTTACACAGTTCAATGGACCAGTCCACGCGTTTTCAATGGCTCCCTCAATGGCTCGATCCCTCTGGTTCTGAGTAGTGGATCCTTCAACACCAGTTGAGGGTCGATCCTTGGGTCTGACGATGGAAGACCACGTGGTCGGTGACCCCGACCTGGTCGGGGACACAACAAGGCAACATGGAAGGCACAACAACAATTGGAACAACAGAAGTGTGCGTGTGTGAGAAAACGATAAAAAAGGCCTAAAAATCACATCAGCCAGAAACCATGTTTTGCTTTGTCTCTGGTCTCTACACAATGTCTTTGTGTTGTGGACAGGCGCCTGGTCCCCCACGACGTGGCGCCATACGTCCCCCGCGATTGGGCGACCCTTGCTGACGGTCCAAGAGCTGCAGCATGTCAATGAGCTGATGGACCTAGCAGAAGGTCGGCCCGAGGCCGAGGCCGTCAACTCGTTGACGTCGACATCTATAACGCTACAGTCATCCGGGGTCATCCGGCCATGTCGCTCAGAAAAATAGATCGAAAAACAACGTGGTTTCGTTTCAGTTCGTGAATCCGTTTCGCTCAACTTCGTCGCCCCGAAAGCTTGCGCCCCAATGTGGACCTGGAGATTGAACGCCCTTTTGGAGCGGGGGGAATGAATCTTCAACAATCATCAACAATCTATTCATCACCTGTCATCTCCTGCCCGAATTTCATCTGAAGTGGCCCTGCCAAACTGAATCAGAAAATTCGGGAGGGCCATTTTTGGACGGGACCGGATCGGAAGAGTGAAACAAGACCCGCACATGGCTGGATCTTCTTCCGTACAGTCTTTTTGGGATCCATAAGACGAGTGTCTGAAGATGACATGGCTGGATCACTTTGGAAGAAAAGAGTCCTGATGACTTCCAAAGGTTTATAGTACATCTTGGCGGGACCGTCACTCGTGGAGGGGGGGGTTTGGCCATCTGCGATGCGTCCCACAGGTCCGTCGCCCGTCGCAGAGCGGGCGTTCGGTCGGTTTCCCCAAAACACGGCCACCACCCTACCCTACGACAAAAACAAACAAATACCATCAACCGGACAACCAAAAAGTGGTTGTGTTAAAAAGACCATGATTCACATATGATTCACCTATATATATATACCTAGAACCTGATTGACCCCCGGAGCTTGGATCCAAAACATGGTCTTGTCCTATCAAAACAGAGGTCATGTCTGGGTTCTAGGTATATAATTCACATGGTTTAACATCTGCTTTTCATCTGTGTTCCTCTTGTTTTCCACGGTCACCCGGCCGGTCCGGTCCCGGTCCGCCCGCCTCAGCACGAAGACCCTGGCGGCCGTCGGCCTCGTTCCGCAAGCTCTGGTCCACTCGGTCCTTCACGGCTTTTGGGCCACGGCTTGGGACGGAAGATCGAATCGATATTGTATATATTACATGCAGAATGCATGATACTATACTATACAGACATACTTTTAAAAAAGATTGAAGACTAAGGAAAAAAATCAGAGAATCTGCAAACCAGCAAAACCGTCCGGTTCCACTTCGGCGCATTCCTCTGTGGGGGGGCCAAGTCCGCTGGTCACAGGTCGGAAGTCCCAGTGCGTCCCAGCCAGTCTGGCCTCGGGCCTTGGGGGGATGGGACCGAATCAAGAACTTGTCTTCGGAACCGGTCTGGTCTGGTCTACTGCGCGCTCCGCCTGGCGCAGCACCAGGGATTGCTCCTTCTTTTCCAAGGTTCTCCACTCCTGCAGCATGTCAGGTCACTCCAGAACCAGGGTCCCAACCGAGACACTCCACCAACAAAAGAACACCACGGCCATTCCAGCAACAGCGGTGTCAGTAATTACCATGGCCCCGGTTTCCAGTTGCTCTCTGCCACTGCCTCCGCCTGCCTCTGCCACTGCATTCAATATCTGCCACAAACATCCACAAACTGGAATGGCATCGGCAGCAGCCAAAGAACAAAGAATCACCGGGTATTTAGCCAGTAAAGAATCCTTTGATTGTGAGGTGCCGGGGCTGCTACTTCGTTCCACCGCCAACGGATTAGCTGAAATGTACCCGAGATGATGGAGTATGGAGGGTGATTGGCGGGTGGTCAAGAGACTCAGCAACAACCCGAGACCCAGCGATCCCGCAAACCGGGTATCATCGTGTATCTAAATGGTCTAAGGTCTAAGGTCTATAGAGGTGTAGAAACAGAAGGTCTAGAGGTATTACGAGGTATTGGGGGATGGATCCGTGCTGCAAACATCCATCACACGAATCGCCTTCGCAGTCCAAGTTTTCCTTCGAAGTACTTCAGACTTCTTCAACGGTCCAGGTGCGAATGTCCAGAACATCAACGGTCCAGGTGGGAAGCCTCGATCATCAGTGTCTTCCTCTCCAGCTGCCAGAGGTTGCTACCTCAACCATCCTAGTGATGCTTGGAGGGTCTATTTCCAGCTTGTGGCCCTACATGGACTGTTGTCTTACATTCTTACTTTGCACACCTTCCTGAGACATTGTCATCACTTGGGAAACGGCCTGACTCCGTTGGAATCTGGTCCACTCTTCTCGTGGGAAAACTCTAACACCACGACACCGATGGCGAGCTGTTCGCGCTTTCGCATGCTGCAGCCCTGGGTTGTCCTGCAGAAACTCGCGGGCGCGCTTTTCCAAGTCTTGGAAGCCTCAGATCTCAGGCGTTTTCGTTGAAGGACCCGTTCTTGCTCTTGGGTGAGGTTGAACAAAGGGTTGAGCAGAATCGCGAGCTTTGTGAAGCTGGAAGAGAGTACCTGACTCTCTTGGGGCCCACAGACAAGTCACAGACCCTAATATCATGTGAGGCTCTTGAAGAACAGCCAGCCAACACATGTCCAATCATCGAAAGCTAGAGCTCCTCACACACTCATACATGCTCAACTGTGGTTCTGACACTCCCTGAAATGATCATGAAAGTGGAACAGCCACACTGATTTCTAGAAAACCGATTCCAAGTTCGTGCCACCTGTCGGTGATTCTCAGCCAAACTCACCGGCCTTCCCGGCCTGAAACCTTGTTTCGACCGCCCACCGGCCGAGCCACGTGCTTGCAACTCCTGCCTCACCTGGCGATTCGCATCGCTGGTCGTCTGCGTCGACGTTCCGAGTCGAGAACCGAACCGTTTGTCGTTCACGTCCAAAAAGGATGGTCAGCTGATGTGAGGATGACAGTCTTGAGTATCCATGGGTTGACGTATTACAGTCTTGACACATCGCACTGAACTAACTGAAATATATCGATTGGTTCCTCCAAACATCGTTGCTTCTGCTGCGAGGGATCCTTCAAGCTCTCTCAAACGAGAACCCCCGAAACCCACACATCCGTCATATCGCCAGAAACAAGCATAACCCTAGCCGTCAAAGACGATTTTCAACATGGTTGAGCTCGTTGTGTAGTCTAAAATCTTTACAACAATGGTTGCTTGGCAAAAAAAAGGTACGTTGTTTGACAATGTTTTACATATACACTTGTTGGAATTTGAGAGATCACATTGCTTGGCGACCATACACGTTCTTCCGCTTCAACCACACCGCCCGCGAAACACCCACGCTGACCACCTCCACCCACCCACACCAGCCGGGCCCTCCAGATCGGACCGCCGGGCCTTCTTCGTGGCCTCTTCGTTGTCCGTGGCACGGGCCTGCGCCGCCTTCAGCCGCGGGAGCACCTGGTCGTTGCAAGACATCGGTGTGAGGAACTCGGGGATCTCCGAAGAACCGCTGTTGGATCCATAGTGATTCTTCCACTGTACAAAAGAACGGTTCAGTCGTAAAAAACAACACACCTGGCGGGGTATGATGAAGGTTGTCCAGGCGACCCAAAACCGCACTCTGACCGACCCGCGGCCGCCTCGGCCTCTTGGGCCGAGGCCACCGGACACCGACCGGACCGGGTCCAGCTGCAAGTGACACGACGCGGAGCTGGTGAAACCCACGAGCTTGTTGATGTTGTGAATGGGTTTTGGAGATGGAGAGCCCCCCCTTTTGGGGAGGCAAAAACATGTGCTTCGAAAGCAAACAGGGGAGAGAGTTCTCCTTCCTGGCGAGGCGTTCCGTTCTGCATGAAGATGTCCAAGGCTTTGAGGGGTCTAAGTTGCAAATCATGTGACTCATGTGTGACTTCTTTCTGGACATGGAACAAACAAACCCAACATCGCGGTGGAAATCGGTGGAAGGACCGCCCCAAAATCGCGGCGAAAATCACGGTGAACACATTTGATAGCGATGGCCTCCAACCTAATAGCAATGGCCTCCTGTATGGACCTGCTCTACAAAAGCTGGGGGGTCCTCTCAAATCCCCAGTCTACATCAGTCGCTTTTTCGCGCGGCACGCCCGCTTAATCCGTGTTTCCAGCGTCTGCCACAAAGCAACGTGGCAACGACAAGGCGGCTGACAGGGCGGACATCAAGACACAGCTTAATCAAAAGTGCCACCAAGTTCCAGCCCCATACCAGGGCCCTGTAAGGGGTGGTTAATAGACACCCATGAACCTCTAAGGAGCTCTTATTGGACACACCTTAGGGGGTCCTAGTATACTTAGATCTGGGTCTTTTATACCATGCGGTAGCTTTATGTTCCACTTTTGGGCGATTCCTCTTCGGTTTTCACCATGAATGATGCTGATAAGAAGTAGGGACTGACATATCTAGTAAGGTTTCTGAGTTTGTACTAACCGTATTGGCAAGCCCAAGAGACAGTGCAAGCGTTTGTACCTCTCTTTCTTCCCAAGAGACGGTGCCGTGCACTGGAAATGGCACAAAAGAGTGACCATGGAAAAGTGAAAGATCTGCTTTGATCATAAAGTACAGGTGGAGTAGACAGTCACAATGGTAAAAAATAAACAACGAAGACTGGATGGTCTTGTAATGTCTTGTACAGGAGATGTCCCCGAGTTCATACTAATTCCAAACAATTTGCTAGAATAGGATAGAATAGGAATGACTGCATTCTTCCACAAACAGGAAAACATGGAATAGGAATAAGAAAACACACATTGACTGGACACGCACAATCTGAAAGAAACGGACAAATTGCAATATAAGTGAAATCCCCAAACGGTCCATATTGCAATTGGGAATAGGTGATTCTTTAACGACAGTATCTATAATTATGTAAGTATAAAGATTTGTTTAAACATACTGACTGTAGCTGTTCCTCAACAGCTAGTGAGACTTCATGAACCTTAAAACATGCTGCTGTTGCTCCCCTTTCCAACAAACCGATGCTGTTAGCTTACAGTATGGGGCATTGGAGGAAGCCCAAATAACCGTTGTGCGCACCTGTAGTTGTGTGAATGTTTTTGTTGAGAAACCTGATGTCAAACAGTGTAAAAATCGTCATGATCACTCATTTCGCAATTACTGACCACCTGGCCTACAAACATCCAATTTAAGCTTTGCTCGTTCGACCCCATAAAACGATGTCGCCAACCCCCCGTGGCGCGTGCGTGCGGCAGAGCCGCGAGCCGTTGGTTTTTGGCGATGGTGTGTTCGCCAGACCTTCTCATGGCAAATGGGAAGAGTTGTAGCTTAGGAAGGTTCCTCAAAATTTGTAAGAACCTCTCCATACGGAGTGCCTCAAAATACTGTGGGCCTCGGGCTGATCATCGTCTCAGGTGAGGAAAACGTGAGGACAACGTATGATCTACACCGACACTGTTGACACATGTTGACACCGTCTTCTCATACAGGGATACTCTTTAACTCATAGTACGTACAAACCACATCAAATCGCAACACTAAAACTATCAGTTGGTGGCACTTAGATACGCATTTTGACCGGGTTGCGTTTCGTGGTGACTGGTCGGCACCATCCCCGGCCTAGAAAAGAAAGATAATATTAGCAAAAGGAAGGGCAGAGAGAAAGAGAGAAAGAAAAGAAGAGAGGAGAGAGAGAGAGAGAGTGAGAGAGAGAGTGAGAGAGAGAGTGAGAGAGAGAGAGAGGCAGAAAGGAATAAAGAAAATACTTTTAAAAAAAACACAGACAAAGAGAAAGACAAACAAACAGGAAGAAAAACAAAATCAAAGAGAAAAATAAAGAAAGAAACAGTGAGAGAGAGAGTGAGAGGGAGAAAAAAGGACAAAAACAGAAAAAGACACAGATTGGATGTCTGGATCTGGATATGTACGGATGTCAAGATGTGATATGTAAAGACAAATGTGCTGGTGTGGAATTTGCAATTCTGGATATGCGCGGATGTAAGTTGTTATATGTTGTGATGATGTGTAACGCACCTGCTTTGTTTAAATGAAGAACCCTTCGCTCGGGCGCTCTCGGGGAAAAGACAACATGTACGCCACATGGTCTGAGGTCGGCCGAGTCAAGCCTGATCTACCGGACCTTCCCATCGGATCGAACCCATGCCGTTGGGAACGACGGGAATCTCAGACCCTTTGGCCTGCTGAAATGGCGCCGAATCTCAGGTCGTCAGGTGTGGCAAACCACAGCGATTCGGTTGGGCAAAGCAAGCGGCCTTCCTGAGCTCTTCTAACAATCAAGCATTTGGGAGTCATGTCAGGAATCCCTCAAAATGCATCAATGTCCCAAAAAACATCGGAGATCTTCGGAGTGGATGATCACGAGCAGGTCTTTTTTCCAAACATGTCATCCTCAAGCAGGCCAGCTTGCGGAACGTGCTGACTGGAGCGAGCTTGAAACCGTGGAGGAGGCACCACGTCTCTCAGCGTGATTGATGCTGCGGATCAAGTTGGAGAAACGTAACCGGTCAATGCAGTTATTCCATGTGATCCCAAGCAGTTCTTACACTGTTACACCTTCCAAGCTTGGGTGGGCTTTAGATGCCAAGTTTGGATGTGTCATTATGATGTTTTTATTGAGGCCTCTTTCAATATAGTCTTTCAACAGTCCGCTGCCCACTTCACGGGTCACCTTTTAGAGCACCCCCTACCCCACGGCCCCTCCTCCATATACTCACTCCGCAACTCTCTCTTTCTTGAAACGGGGGGAGAAACGATGGCGCCCGGCGCCCGGCTCGAAGGTGGCCTGTTGGACGAATGGGGGTCCTCTCCACCGGATCTTGATGTTTCGATGACGTGAGAAGGGCCGGAACATCCGAGGTGCAGGCTGGGGACGGCTGGTCACCGTTGATGAACAACAACACATGTGTAACACATGAAGATTTGGGGATGGTGCGCTCACTCACTCCGTTCTCTCCCGTTTTGGTGGAAACATGTTGAAACCCTCGCCTACCTCGCTGGGTGTCTTGGAATTCAGCTGAGTGGCTCGTCTTCTTCACCCTCTTGGTTCGGGCGCCTGCCTCTCTCGGAACGCTCCCCGCTCTCGGTTGAAACGTGGACCACAGGACCAGGTCTCGCAGCCACGCAGGGCGTCGCCTGGCCGTTTTGGGAGACGACCGGTGCTCCGGAGATCTATTGAAATTGGTGATATTACAACTAATCGTAGACCCGCAAACGGATGAAACAACATGCTCCAACAGAAAGGCTCCGTACCTCTTCCCCCATCAAGTGTTTCAAAGACAGGCTTCTGATGTGTTCTTATAGTGGATTCTACCGTCATGGGTTGGCGTCAGGGACATCCCAGGGCCACCTGATCGCCACAAAAGCCAGAATGACTCGATATGCTTTTTTCCACCGACAGCCAATAGTGGCCTAAACAGAACAAAACAAAAAACAACATGGAGCCGGTGAACAGCTATATACTTTGACACTCCCTCTCCAGTCGCCGCCCCAGAATTCTCACGAAAGCATCCCTGAATTGCTTGCGATTGCTTGTGCGATGGATGAAATGGGCTGAACCTTCCAAGAAGTGCAACTGACACTGTGCTTTTCTATCATGTCAACCATTGTATTGAGACGGGGGGTTCAGTCCACCTAATTCATATACATATTCATACATTCCCTGCGTGGGTAGGGACGTACATATATTCTGTGGAGGAACCCAAACCAATCAACAATCATCAACCCGCTCGCCCCTTTCGGGTCCGATTCAGCCCCGCCTAGCCCACGTAGCCCATGATCTGCGTCCACAGCCCTGGTGCCAGAGGGATCCTGCGGAGGGAATCAATGGTCTTTTGGGATCATGAAGCCTTTTTTGTTGGCTTCATGATAGATGATAATTGAGATCTTATATATAAGCTTATTAGATATAAGTAGATCCAGTCTCCAACAAAGAGGCTTAATTTCGCCTAGAAAGAACAGCACGGAACTGTCCAAAGAAGCCAATCCTCCTTCTGCCGCAATCCCAAGGCTTAAAATTGACTGACTGAGTACGTATCAGCTGGCTCAGCAACTGGCTCAGCAACTGAGTAGCGAACGCTTACTAATTGCTTTGAACCCGCATGAGCATGCCTGACATGAACAGCTCTTGTGTTAAGTACTATGTTCGTGCAGCGGATGACGCAATTGACAGGTGCAATGAACAGGATTCGCACCGCAAGGACCTTCACCTCCGAAAAGAAAGAAACTCTAGGACTCCAACCACCTCCGTGTCGTTCGGTGCTTGGTGTGGGTTTCGGGGGTCTAACTCCTGAGGATATGCTTGGAGCCCTAGGGAAAATAAAACACACACACACCGTGGATGGTGGTTGTTCTCTCCCCCATCTCGTCCAACTTCTCCCCAAACAAGTGTTCGTGGCCTTCGCGCCAAAGCGCGCGCCGCTCCTATCACCGAGCTTGCACAGCACCGAGA